ATTTTTAAAAATAAAGCATTATTTTTAAAAATAAAGCATTATTTTTACTTAACAAAATCTTAAATCTGCATTCTCTAGAAACATATCACTAGGCTGACCATCCTTGAAAAGTTTGTTGACCTGTAATTCGACATAATATGTTGATAGATTATTTCTTATATATCTATCTATAGGTCTTTGTTATATCTTACTTAATTATCTTGTCCATACCACATGACAATTTTTTTCCTTGTTATTGTTGTTTTATGCAATGATTATGTGAACTACACCCTTATAGACAGAGTACCATAAATTACTGTCCTCAAGCAGAAAACTCTTTTTCTGTAACTATTTAAATTGACTTTACATAACCATTCCTTGTGGGTGTTAAAACATATAACACAATTAATGATGGCCTTTATTGCTGATACATTATCTTAAATGTTACAATAAAGTTCATTAATAGAACTTACAGTACAATTCATTAATAATGACACAATTAAGTTCAATTATTGTGTTAGAAGTCTGCAAACAATAATTTCTCACAGATGGCGCTACAGCAAAGTCATTAAAAAAAACAAAGATCTGCAACAAGCACATAGAAAAATTTGTACGGTCTTGTGGTTGGTTTTCTCAGTTGCGAGAGTGTCTCGCACAGTATGCTTGAAGGAGCTGGTCTGAATCAAGCCAGATTGAAAGAATGTTTCTTGTTCGATCTTCGAATTAATACTTATAATTATAACAAATTAGTGGAATAAATTTGCATTTTATTACCATGATATTCACAATTTAAAAATATGGGCTATTATCATATTACACTTAATCTATACTAATTTTGTTGACTTAACAAACCAAAGAGGATATTCTGATGCCAAAATATATCACTTTGTTGTCTTGTGCATAACTTAAGGCAATTGGATTATTAGGCTTCTCAATTATTTATAATCTATTTTAATTTCAACCAGAAAAAAAACTTTTTGTCCACTTATCACTCTACTACTTGTGTACATATTTGACTTTTTAGTTTTTAGTACCATTCAGACTGACAGAAACAATGGGTACTTATACCACTTAATATTTGTGCTGAAAAATAAAGCTCATATCACATATTCACAGATTAAGGAAGTGCCCTGTTCAATGAGGACTATGACGAGTAAATCTGCTACTACTACTATTAATTACAACACCCATACCAATAAAATAGAATCAATTTACATAAGTTTATTATTTTAATTGTCATAATAGAAGTCATCAAATGCTTCTTTGTCTCAATTTTATTTATAAATGATAGTTTAAATAAAGTGTCTTAAAATTCTTAAAGGAACATAGAATATCTAATAGAAATGAAAGAAATATTTTTGTATTGACTGAATACTGAAAGGTAAGAAAGATACTTGATTGCTGTTAAGCATTGTCCTAATACCCACAATGTGTAGTTTTAAAGCCGGTCTGAAGGTCAGATTAAGTTCAAGTTCTATTTAATTTGGAAACTCAGATATTCATGTTTAGAATTATAGGCACAGTTTTGGGTACTGATTGATATTCAGTTATTATTGTTGATTTTTAACTTTTATCTTTATGACTACCATAATGGCACCTAGTTGCACAAACATCCATTTACTTTAATGCTCTATTAAGTACCATGCATTTTCTAGTTATGCTTTGATAAAGTAAATGGCAATATATACTCTGACACATTAATTTAAAGATCATTTTCTCAATTCACAGTTTAAGTGTTTTTAAAAAGTCATTAGTTAAATGTGAATGAACACTGACTTTTCCAAACATTTCTGTTTATTATATGGATAGATCTGGGAAAATTAGTTAATCTTATATTATAAAATCAATTTTATATTATAAACAATATTGACGATGCATCATGTCTTCCAATTTACATTACCATACATGTAGTCAGAAAGTCCTTTACTCATTAAATAATTTTCAAAATAGGGGCTGGACTGTCTACTTATATTATAAGTCATCTATTTGTGGAACCAGGCTGTATATAAATTGACAGTAACGAAATGACAACCTTGGCAGTTCAGCAGTTAGCATGGTGTGTGTTAGATGAGTAGTCCTGCGTTTAATTCCCAGTGGAACCAATTTGCGAAACAATTGTTTGGTCTGAATGTTTCAAGTAGTGCCCCGGACTTAATTTCGTTGCTCCAATTCTCATAGTAATAATCAAAATAGGCTAGGAGTGCGTTAGTCAAAATACACATACAAATTAGTAATGACATGTTTGTGTATTGTGCATTCCTCGCCTTGTCCGGGTATGGTGAGAGAGCTATTGCTAAATTTTTGGTACAAAACACGATCTGACAACTGGCAACACTGAATTTCTCCTTCTTCTGCCCTCCGATTGGTCGTTGGATCCTTACCACCACGCTGCTCACCCCTCCACCAGTGTGGGGGTGCGGTGGCCGTTGTTCAAACTCGACACGCGGTTTCCCTTATTGCGTTGTTGAATTTCGTTGCGAATACACAATTAAGGGGAAATCCTGTCGGATTGCGTACCGATATGGATTCCGATACAACTGGCGGCACTGGCGAGTGCCGACGACGACGACGAGGCAGAGACCGACAAAGACGAAGGCGCAAATCTCGATCTCCCTCGTACTCCAGATCGAGATCTCCAAGTTACGACAGCTCTTTAGATCGCGCTAACTGGCGCCACAGTGAGTACTACAATTCGGATATTTCGGTTTTTGGTCAGTTATGCAAACAGGTTAGTGACCTAACGGTTTTTATGAATAATTTTATGCAACAAAATGTGCAAAATGTGGGGGTGTCGGAACAACAGACACGTGTGGTATCCGAGCCCAGTACCTCGCAAGTACCCGACACTGCACCTCAATTAGCCAGTGTGCCACAATCTTGTACACCAGTTGAGGGAAATGATGACGATTTTTCCTTCCAATCTCTACAAACTACACTGAAGGACACTGGTATAGGCAAAACTGACCATGAACGATTTGAGTTAATTAATTCTTTACAGCTTTTTGGGTCCCCTGATTGGCTCAACATAAATTTCATTGAAACTCAAAAGACTTATTTATCTAAACCTGGTTTTGTAGAATTGGAATCCAATGATGATCTGAAACCTTTCGATAAAAACAAATTTCTACCCTCTTGTGAACGTACTTTATCTGCATTGTCTAACGCTGTATTATTACAAAGAAATATTTTACAACAGAATGTTACTTCCTTACTTTCATGGGTACGAGAACTTCAGGTAATTAATTACGATGAATTTTCTAGCAAAGTTAAGGAATTATTTAACGAAGATAAAACATACAATAAAATTTCCAACGACATCATGCAGATTATTTGTGGGAAAAGGGCGTCAATAATAAATAATCGAAGAAATGAATTATTGAAGTCCGTTCAAAATAATTATACAGTAGAAAAATTCAAAAAGATACCCCCATCTTCTGAATTTTTATTTGAACCAGAACAATTTTCTAAATTGCTTGACAGAGAAGGTGGTCCATCGAAAGTGCTTGCTAAACCACAACCGGCAAAACGAAATTTGTCTTTTTCGTCTACATCTAAAGGTCAGATCAAATTCCCTTTGAAAAACCAATTCATACAACCCTTTCGTACACCCAACACAGAGCCTTCAGGGAGTTCAAAACCTAGGGGGTTGGCGGCGTCTCGTGGAAAACGAAAGCACGAGCCTAGAAGGTCTCGCGAGGGTCGTCACATCGATTCCAAGAGACGCCGCTATGATTGACTCACATCGCTTCGAAGCGGGTCGCCTACAACACTTTTATCACAGGTGGGTGGCTCTAAGAGCTCCACCAGTTATATTGAAAATGATTTCCAATCTTCGAATACCATTTATAAGAAAGCCCCCTCTATTGATACCAGATTTGGATACTTACCAAACACCAGACTCTCCCCAAATGGCTGCAGAAATTCGGGCAATGTTAGATTTAAAGGTCTTAGAACTAGCGGAAGTAAGTCCCAGTTTTGTGTCACCGATGTTTTTAATTCAAAAAGCAGACCTTTCCTTCCGACCGATTTTCAATTTGAAATATCTAAACAATTATATAACAATAAAGAAATTTTACCTTATATCTCATTTCGAGATTCCAAATTTTCTGCAACCGGGAGACTGGATGACGAAAGTCGATATGTCACAAGCGTATTTTCACGTAAACGTCACGCCACCTCACCGACGTTTTCTAAGATTAATATTCAGACATGTACTTTACCAAATGACCTGCCTTCCGTTCGGTATAGCATGTGCCCCGAGGTGTTTTGCAATGTTAACAAACTTTGTGGCGCAGAGACTGCGAGAGGCGGGTGTCCGTATTGTAGTTTATCTCGACGATTTTCTAATCGTCAATCAAGATCGATGTTTGCTTCAGCGGCAAACTTCTTTAATCATAGAATTTCTTCAGGCTCTAGGATGGATTCTCAATTTCAAAAAATCTATTACGAATCCCACACAAAACATCGAATTCTTAGGAATTCAATGGAATACCCTACAGAACGAAAAATATCTTCCTCCCAAGAAGATAGTAAAACTACAAAAGGAGTTTCAGCGACTTCTTTTGAAGAAGACCTGCTCTCTCAGCGAAGCGAGGTCCGTTCTGGGGCGATTAAATTTTGCCAATTACGTAGTGCCACAGGGTCGATTACATTGCCGCCACTTTCAACGTCACCTTCGCACGCTACGCAAGGGAAAGCATCCAAGGCAGCAATACATGTTGCCGAAGGACGTCCTGTTGGATCTACAGTGGTGGCGGCGTGCGGTAAGCGATTTTTCTATGATTCATTTACCACAGATTACTCACTACCTAGTAACCGATGCTTCCAATTACGGTTGGGGAGCCCTACTAAACGACACGTGCCTTGCCGGGACGTGGGAACCTTACCAACAAACTTGGCACAGCAACCTCAAGGAGCTAGTAGCGATCCAGAGAGCGATAGAATCAAATACAGAGGGCTTACGCGGGGCCAGTTTGCTGATTCAGTCAGACAATGTAACGGCTCTCGCGTACTTAAGGAACGAAGGGGGCACGAAGTCATCAAAATTAATGAGTCAAACCCGCCAGGTATGTCAACTAATTCAAGACTTACAGATTGTAGTTACTTATCAACATCTACCAGGACGTTTCAACTGTGTGGCCGATCGACTGTCTCGAGGCAAATCGATACCAGAGTGGCATCTCCTACCAGAAGCGACACACAAAATATTTCAAAAATTCGGTATACCTCAGGTGGATCTCTTCGCATCAGCGCGAGCCCACGTAGTTCCCCATTACGCGTCCCTAGACCCGAGGGACGAGGCCGCTCTATTCCACAATGCCTTCAGCAGGCGATGGGAGTACCAACTAGCTTGGGTGTTTCCTCCTCCATCACTCATGCCTCGGGTTTTGACTCACCTAAACAATTGCAGAGGCCAGTATATTGTAGTAGCCCCCCACTGGATAAAGTCGTTTTGGAGACCAGATCTACAGAACAGAGCCCTCAGCAGGCCAGTTCTAATACACGACCTACAGAGAACTCTAATAGACGTAACTACCAACCTACCGCTCCCCAAGGTAACCGATTTGATATTGAAAGCTTGGCTGATTGGAGCTGGGACACCTTACTGAAAAATTGGACCCCAGCAGAGAAGGCCGTATTGATGAACGGTTGGCGGAAATCTACTTTGATGTCATATAAACCGGCCTGGAATCGATGGGTAAAGTGGTGTTTAAAAAACGAAGTTTCCATTATTACACCGCAAGCAAAAGACCTCGCCAAGTTCCTCGCAGATCTTCATATTACAGAAAAGCTTGCCCCATCAACCATACAGTTACATAAATCTGTTGTTTCCACTATTTGCGAACCGCATTTGAATAAAAAATTAAGTCAAGACACATTTGTGCGGCGAGTGTTAAAATCTGTTTCAGTAGCACGCCCCATTAATAGGAAAGTCCCCATTTGGGACCCGCAACAGGTTGTACAATGGCTTCAAAACAATGTGCCGATTAATATTTCATTTTTCGAAGCGTGTCGGCGTTGTGCTACAATATTATTACTTACATCGGGAAGGAGAGTTCATGATTTAACATTGTTATCCATTTCACCAGGTCACATACAAGAGGATAATACTAACATTATTTTGTGGCCAATATTTGGTTCGAAAACAGACACCGCACAACACCAACAATCGGGATGGAAACTTAGCCCTCATGATGTTCAAGCAATTTGCCCTGTGTACTGGGTAAAAAAGGTCATTGAACTATCGAAATCAAGAAGAGGCTCACTTCAACAACTATTCCTCACGACTCGAGGAACGCCGAAGCCTGCCTCCAGGACGGTCATTGGCGGTTGGGTAAGAACTGTTCTTAAATCTGCAGGTATAGACGCTACACCTGGCAGCAGTCGCTCTGCAGTTGCCTCTTACAACTGGTTATGTAACGTCCCATTAGACACCATACTCGAGAAAGGTAACTGGAGACGGGCTTCGACCTTCCATAAACATTACTGTAGAAAAATAAATAAGACTATTAGTGCTAATAATAACACATCAAATGTATCAAATTTATTTAATGCAATTTAGAATATTATTGAATTATTTACAAATGCATGCCAAATACGTAATTGTTGTCTATTTATCAAATTATACAATGTTTCTTACGGAATGTTAGTTTACTTACAAACTATAATACAAAGATTATCACTAAATAAATATCTTTCTTTTAAACAGTATGAAAACTTTAACGATTCACTTCATTTCTATCACATGACATTCACTTATTCACTGTAGCCCGTGTTCACTATTTAGCTTCTCACACCTCTCACCAGGTGGTAACAAACACTTCTCACCATACCCGGACAAGGCGAGGAATGCACAATGATAAGGTTTTACCTACCAATAAAACCGCCATTGTGCTCCGAGCCTTGTCCGGGCAATTTAAATTGCACCTGGTGAGAACAATGAGGGAAACCGCGTGTCGAGTTTGAACAACGGCCACCGCACCCCCACACTGGTGGAGGGGTGAGCAGCGTGGTGGTAAGGATCCAACGACCAATCGGAGGGCAGAAGAAGGAGAAATTCAGTGTTGCCAGTTGTCAGATCGTGTTTTGTACCAAAAATTTAGCAATAGCTCTCTCACCATACCCGGACAAGGCTCGGAGCACAATGGCGGTTTTATTGGTAGGTAAAACCTTATCATTATTGAAATTTGAATTTATGTATGCTTTGTTGTGTAATCTTAATGTGTGTGGTTGATAATTTCATCTCCCTTACAATTATTTTTTATTTCATTATTTTTTGTTTTGGTTATGAGTTAACCCTTGAAGCTCGCTTGCTCCTTTTAGTCTTGAGATGAAGTAGAAAATTATGTAAAATGTATAATTATTTACAGTGACAAATGCACCGAAAGAGCACCAGTTAGAGAGCGGCGGCGACGAGTTGGCGGAGGTGTCATGGCGTCACCCGCAGCAACCGTCCTATGCACCACCCATCTCGTCTGCTGCCGACCCCTACAGCGCGGCAGGTAGGTACATATACCATTTACATTCGTTCTTGTCGAACTTTATAGTTCGTATTTCACTCATAGTTACAAGAAAGCTTTGACATAACGGTAATGCAATTTAATAGTAATAATTTTGAATTAGTTTGGCAACCAAACTCATTGCATTCTTTTCTGTTTCTGTTCCAGGTTATTACGGTACAACAGCACTTCCTTTTCAAGCTTTTGGAGTCGGGGATGGGACTTGGTCCACCAATGGAACAGACCCGATGACTTTCCTCGGAGGATACAATCCTCACGATTCTTATGGAATGGATGGTAGCTAGTATTTATTCGAGTTACAGAAACATATCTCATTAATTGATAGATGTAAACCTCGACAAAATACCACCATTATTTCCTATACACTATACAAATTGCTATCAAATGCCTGTTATGGTCTACCAATCCTAAACAAGCAACATGATTGCAAAGTGCAATGAAATATATTTTTTACCATTAGTATTTTCTTGTCCAACTTTAGTTCCATGTTCTCATTTCAGGTGTATTCGGGCCATCAAATACGCCCTTTTCAACTGCCGCATTCGGGCAGCCAGCTTCAACATTTAATTATTTCCATGGTAATGGCGATTACTCAACTTGGGGTCAATTAGGTCGTGCAAAACAATATGACGATTACTACAGAGCTGATGGACTATATGTACCCGATGGAATTAAGGCGGTGGACGCGGGAGTGCAGGCACTCTCGCTCGACCATTCTAAGGATAAAGATCGCGCCCCCGAGCTTAAAGACGTATCGAGTGGAATGCAACCCAAAAAGATGACTTGGGCGTCAATCGCCAGTCAGCCGGCTAAACCCGCCCCTTCCTTACAAAGCAGTGGGTTGAAAAAGAAAGGCCCTGGCATGCCCCCTCCACCTATAGTGCCTGGTAAGCACAATATGGACATCAACGCATGGGATGCCGGCAAGAGCGCACCTGTCGTCACCGCACCGCCTCCGCCGCAAATGCAACCCCCACCTGTACCTGTACCAGTGCCGATGCCCGCACCGGCGCCTGCGCCAGCCCCTATGCAACGTGGCCCGCCGCCTCAACACCAGCCTCCAGCCGGCTGGGCACATGCACCTCGTGCACCACCACCACACATTCAACACCAACCGCGGCCGCCCATGCCCGCGCCACCGACCGTAGCCCCACCGCCTGCGCCACCCGCGGGCGCCCAAGCACACCCAGTACTCGATGAACTGCGTGTCAAGAATGATTACAATCCAAAAGAGTTCGATCTGAGTGCCCCACTCGCACGATTCTTCGTCATCAAATCGTATTCTGAGGATGACATCCACCGCAGTATCAAGTATGAGATTTGGTGCAGTACTGAGCACGGCAACAAGCGATTAGACGCCGCTTTCCGCGAACGTGAGAGGGAGGGCGGAATGGTCTATCTATTTTTCTCTGTGAATGGTAGTGGCCACTTCTGCGGGATGGCGCGTATGATGAGTGCCGTCGACTACAATTCTAATTCGAGTGTGTGGTCACAAGACAAGTGGAAGGGACAGTTCCGCGTGAAGTGGATTTATGTGAAGGACGTTCCAAATGTGCAACTGCGTCATATCAAATTAGAGAATAACGAAAATAAACCAGTCACGAACTCTCGCGACACTCAAGAGGTCCCACATGCAAAGGGCCTGCAGGTGTTACGTATTATGCATAGTTACTGCCATTCTACTTCTATTTTTGACGACTTCATTCATTACGAGAGGCGTCAAGAAGAGGAAGATTCTCGTAAAGTACCGCCTCACCCTCAGGAGAACAGTCGTGACGATCATGAGGGAGGCGGACGCGGATATCGTCCGTACCGCGATTATCGTGACCATCGTGATGGCCGAGATGGGCGTGACCGCGATGGACGTGACGGGCGTGACGGGCGTGATGGGCGTGATGGGCGCGATGGGCGCGATGGGCGCGATGGACGCGATGGACGCGAACACCGCGACGGACGTGAGTTACGCGACCATCGCGACACTCGCGACTCGCGCGACGTCCGCGATCATCGCGACGACCGTGATGGCAGGGATAATCGTGATCACAGCTACCGTGATCGTGATTCTAATAATTATAGACCTCACCATAAGGTATGTGTGATATCTACTCATGAGCCTTTATAATAGACGTAGTTTTTACTCTTTAATTATGTTTTGATGGTTTTCAGGACCGAGATGGCTCTCGCGGCCGTGGCCGTCCCCGAAATTAATTGAACTTGATATGCGAGGACTAGCTTCTCCCCATAGACAACTGGAGTTAAAATTGGTACAGCACTGCACACCAGATGTGTGTTTAGCATACATCGACGAGGAAGTCCTTTATCAACGTGACCTAACGTCGATGCGTTACTCCCTGAACAATTATAATGTAACATAGAGTTTTATTTTAAACAGTGCTTCACTAACGAAAAACTTTCAACAAATTAAAATGTGCTAAATATTTTATACCGAAAGAACGTTTAATTAAACAAACGCCTAGTGAACAGAACGTTAACTATATATGTACCAAACACTCGTCATGCGTCGGTTTCGCGTCCCATGGAAACGAGTAGAATTGTGGACTTTATTTCAAATTCGTGGACTGAATCAATGTAATTTTTATAACTAGGAAATTCTGTGGTGAGAGGAGTTGATCCTTTTGACTAGGGACTGGAGAAGGGTAATCAGGATGACATGAATATCACTCATTTCTGCTGATCAAGTGAAGTGTTAGAATGGTACCATGATCATCAGTGTCTGAAATGAAATGTAATGAAAACGTTGTTAGATATAATAACTGTGGTGATGAATTGTAACTTTTATATTGCAGACAAATTGTAATCAAATGAGGTGTGGACATTTTGTATACATTTTTTTAATACCAACTGAAGGACAGTTTTGTAAGTGCGTTCTCTCGTGGCATTGAGTTCAGTTTTACTTCATGTACTAAATGGTTTCACATTTATAAATTATTCTTAATTTGTTGCCATTGCCATGGAGTAAGATTGTTACAGCTGTATCAAATACTAAATGCGAACTCAATTATTTTACTGATTTTTACTATAGTTGTAGGTAGACGTGGATTGTTCCTTGTTGGATTTTTTAACATGTGTAAATATTATTAAAAAAATGTTTTATACTTATAAGTGCAACTACAGTGTGACGAGAGAAATTTGACGGACGACAAAATATAATATCCAATTTACCTTACAACCATTTGTTATACATATACACATATTATTTCCCCACCTTGATTTTAAAGTGCCTTTTTGATTTACAATAAATAAAACTTAATTTGAAGTTCATTCTTAATTTACGTAGATATAGCTCTAGAGCCACATTATGAATGGTATTTTTATTTTTCAATATATTAATTTTGTAATAAGTAATTTGCTTATGCATACATTTTTGTTTTAACAATTTTAGTTGTTAAAGGGAATATTATATTTCCTTTATGATGATGAGATGGGTTTCGGATTTGGCAAAATTATGTCATACCTAGTTAAAGTTTGTCTTAAACTGATACTGGATTAAATTTTCATAGAAATCTCAATCGAATTTTGGTTTTTCTGTAATTAACAGGTTCCCTACAATATTTCAAGATTATCATGCAAGTTGTTAGGCAGATAAAGAGCAGTAGAAGGTAAGAAATGAGAACCCTTGCCACAGGGTCGCAGTTAAATAAACTTGGTCAAGAGCACATTTAAGTTTAAATTAGCACTTTTTATGTAAATAATGCCATTGATTTAACTCTATATTCATGCTATATGAACGGTCCAGTGTCGAACTTGATGTGCTCAGGGAATGCAATAACCTTGGAAAAAAAATTTAAGAGTTATATCTTGTTTTGTAATGTATAATATATAAATCAATCAGCCCATGGCAGTGCACTACTGGACATAAGCCTCCACAGTGTACGCCATAGTACCCGATCACCCGTTTTCCGCATCCAACCAATACCCGCGACCTTCTTCAGATCGTCGGTCCATCTTGCAGGGGGATGTCCTAAGTTACGTTTGCCAAGACGTGGTCTCCACTTGAGAACCCGTCTACTCCATCGCTCATCGGTTATGCGACAGATGTGGCCAGCCTACTGCCACTTCAGCTTGCTACATTTCTGGACGATAGCACTTAAGTCTTATGCCGAATAACTTCGTTCCGGATTTTGTCCCTTAACGAGATACCCAGCATAGACCTTTCCATAGTTCGCTGAGCGACGTGTAGCTCACAGAGCCAATTTCACCGTCATATTCCACGTCTCGGCTCCGTAAGTCATGACCGGTAGGACGCATTGGTTGAAAACCCTGGTCTTCAGGCACTGCGGGAGTGGTGACGAGAAGACATGACGCAGTTTACCAAATGCTGCCCAACCCAGCTGCACTCTCCTAGCTATTTCACGCTCGAATTTGTCTCTGTCTAGTTGCAGGGTTTGCCCGAGGTAGTCATATTCTCGGACAACTTCGAGCGTTTTGCTATTAATCGAGATCGGCCTCTGGGATGACGAGTTCATTGAACAAGATCTTAGTGTTGTCCAAATTCATCCGAACACCGACCGATAATGAGGCAGCATTAAGACTTCACAGTTTTCTGCAGATCCTGCAGCGATTCTACCGTTATAACGATCTCGTCGGCAAAGCGAAGGTGTGTGATTTTGGCCACTGACATTGATGCCCAATCCGGTCCAGTCAAGTGTCTTGAAGACGTCCTCCGGAGCGTTTGAGAACAGTTTCGGAGAGATAACATCTCCCTGTCTCACGCCTCTATGCAACAGGATGGGTCTTGTCTTGTTGCTATGGACTTGAACGGACATCGTGGCCTTGCTGTTTTCAGATTTCTCAGCACCTCTACGTACCGCCAATCGACTTTGCATCGCCGCAAGGATTCTATTATGGAACTAGATGAACTAGAAGATAGCGATGCGCGACTTTGAATGATACTAATACTAATCATTTGAATGGGCAAATCATTCTAATAACTCGAATCCAAGCACAATCATTTGACTCGAGTTGAATGATTTATCAATACCGAATGCCTTATAGTCGGTTGTTGGGTGCACGAGTCGAATGATTATTATATCGGAACACCTAATTCATCATGTCCATACCACAAAATATGGGATATTTTGTCCCCGTCACATTTACAGTGTTTACCATATGTCAGAGAGAGCTGATGATCACGAGTAGAAACGCTCTATGGAATCTATGGATTAATACTACTAATTGGTAATGAATGACCATTCAAATCATTCGAATACGAAAATTAGTAGGTTACTAATTTGACATTCGAATTACAGGATTAGCGATTACTAACGTGTCGAATATTGAAATCATTCACAATCGCGCATTGCTACTAGAAGACTGACTTAGTTCAGTTGACCGATTGAACTAACTAGGATCGCTCCCGCTAAGGACCGATCATGCACAAGTCTAGTGGACAGAAGCACATTTCATATATAAAATTGTTTTCGCTGCTTTCCATCAGCCTGTTTGGAACCGTTTAAAGGCTCTGGATGGTTATGCTTTCGCCTAATAAAAGTGATTCTGATTATTAATTGTGTCATTGGATTAAGTAAGTTCACCACACTAATGACTACATAATATAATCCATTTCACATGGGATGAGTCCTATAACTAATCTTCCAACTAGGTTACAAAAATAAATAGTTAGTTTGTCATAGTCATATTGTACGGATAACAGCACATCAGACTACACATTTTTGTTCGAAAATAGCCTCCAGTTCAACGGAACAGGATACGTCAATGTGTAGCTTGATGTGCGGTTGATGTACACAAGAGGCGATTTTCGAACAAAAATGTGTAGACTGATGTGCTGTTGTCCGTATAAAAAACAAACAATATTGGTTGCAGTTGTAATTTTAAATAAAAATTAGAGTGTATGTAAAAAGAAAATGAAATGGTTTAAAATTAAAATAAATTACCGATTACATGATGCGTAAAACGGAATATATTATCCATAGAGATTTACACCATTAAATCGAATCGACTATTTTGTATTTCGCGTCAATAAGAGTGCGTACACTTTGTATGCGGGTTGTTTTCATTTAGGTTTTGAGCTTTGTAATGTTTTGGAGTAATTATTTAAATTTCGTTTCGTTTAGCCAAAACTCATCATAAAAAAAGTCACCTGAATCATGATAAGTGAAATTAACTAATAATATATATTAAACAACATTTGTTATGATTCTTTTTTGTTTGTTATGGTTTTTTTTTTAATATTATGCATAATAATTATAATGTTTTGGTGACTTAAATGACAGATTTAGGAAAGTAAAACATGAGGTTCATGCAGCGAGATGGGTAGATGACATCGTTGAAATTAGAGCATGATCGTAGTGGATAAAGTAAAACATGAGATTCATGCAGCGAGATGGATAGATGACATCGTCGAAATTAGCGCATGATCGTAGTGGATGGCACAAACTACGGGAAGCCTATATCCAGCAGTGGGTGAAGTCGGGCCGGGGGTCACGACAAATAATCTCAATTGAATCGGTTCTTTACTTCGGATATACAATGGCACAACTCTATTAATGTCAAATGTCGAAAACACAATGTGTCAAAAGTGTCAAACAGGCGGTATCTGTCAAACAAAGGCAAGCATCACGCAAAGTACAAGTGGATTCCTATCCCATGTCCACTCAATATTTGCTTGCTTTTGGTTTGTTCACTACGCGCGAGCAATCGGAATAGTTTGCTATAGAACGTCACGCCATGAGTGATATCAATAAAACGAAGCTATCGGACTCTTATCATGTAAAGATAATCCAGAGACGCTAATTAATTATGAAGTTATCTACTGTTTTTATTTCATTTATAGACTTGTTGCGAAGAAACGAATCAGTGTTCGAATGAAGATATTTTTGTGAAAATGAGACATGCATTCGGCCGAAATGCAAAAAAGTGTATCAGTGCAAGTAGATAGTGATTTCGCCTTGTTGCTACCCAGCGGTGCCTATGAGATAAAGAAAATGGAGCCAAGATCGAAGCTACGAAAAGTGATACTATTCTGTTTACTACTTTCATTGTTTGGGATGGTGGCGTTTGGATATTTCTGCCCTGAACAGGTGAGTAAGGGGCGCCTACGCAACGCTTTGTTGCACTTTTTGTTATAGACAAGTACTTATTAATAATTAAAATTATTTCTCAGAGAAAGTTCACAAACTTGCGCATGTTGCGTATAGAACTGTTTAAATACTACCATAGGATCATATATCTGTTGCAAATTATTTTCTGCTCAAGGCAGTGTTTGTCCAATTAATGCCCTTCTGTTATCAGTAAATAAATATCTAATTTATTGAAACACTCTTCTTGTATGTATGTATTATTTTTTTATTATTAATATTAAAGTAAACAGAGTGTAACATTGAATTATAAATGAATTGACAGATATCTTAGATTTTTAAACTTTGAATGAAATTCATAGAATGATGGCAAGTTTTGTCAGGCTCATATGATTTGAAAGACCTGTACTTTTAATTACGTATGTATGTACGTACATATGTAATTAAATTATGTAAATGTACGTACGTTTTCATAATGTTAGTTTTGAAAAGTACATTATGTGCTCACTGATAATTTAGTCATGATAAGTTAACTTAGAATTATGTTATGTTGTTAAGTTCTTATTGTCCATGTGTGTACATATCAGATTTTGGTTCCAGCATTTAAATTATTACTGAGTTGTGTATACATTATTATAACTTATGTATATCTATTTTAGACTCGCGCCGATCCTGTGACCATTATTATTATTGCTATGATATAAATTATTTGATGTCAAAAGAGTGAAGTGAGTTTTCATTGCAACATTACTTAAAGAAATTGTAAAATTATTACATTTTACGTGATTTTATATATAATGATTGATTTCTTATAGTTGATTGATCTGCAAAATAGTTTATGTTGATTGATATGCAAAGTAGTTTACATTTTTTAAATTTGTCTGAAGAAACATG